CCACAACAACCCCTACCAGGCCCACCCCCTACCCTGGTTTGCCAGTAAGTGTAGCAGTAATCCAGTCTGTCCCACACCCCATTCAACCCCAGCCGCTATCTTAGTTTTATGTCCTCCTGTGGAAGTGGCATCCCAAGAGGGATGAGCCCACTGTTTCCCTCCCAGGCCTCTCCCACTCCCAGATTCCAGTTGATGCTGCGTCTAAGCCCAAACAACCCTCGCCCACTTTAATTTTGTTTGCACCAGTAGGAATAATCCGCCCAGCCCGGCTTTTCCCTAATCTAGTCCACATGGGGCGCACAGGTGTGGTAGCTCTGCCTAGTCTGGTCTGCCCCCATCCCAGCCCATGCTCTCCTGCGGAAGTAGCTGTCCAGCAAAGGAACCCTCCCTTATTCCCCTGCCGGCTCTGCCCACTTCCTTTCTTGTTCTCAGGCTGGTTGGGCACTGCGGTCCCTTCCGGCACAGGCAACCTCACCTTGGCATTCCATATTGTGCACTAGTCTTTGTTGCGACCAAACCTGGTTCGACCCACACTGGTGCCTGGATTTGCCAGTGGATGACGTGGACAGATTCAGCCTGGTCTTGCCCCCACATCTGCCAAGTGTATGCCAGTGGGTAGCTTTCCATGGCCTTTTCTGGGCTGTTTCCTATCATGTTTCTTGCGTTTACCTTCCGGGTCTGTGTCCTGCCAGAGGAGTTGCCCAGGCTCCTCCATCAGAACCTCTCCCAACGCCAGGTTTCACGCTTACCAGTGGGTCCATGAGCCAGTCCTACTCAGTCCACCTCCTGTCATAGCAGGAACTGTGGCTTTTCCTGACTGGCCTTCCACCCAATCTGGTTCTTGCTGTTGGATGTTCCAGCCCAGCCATGGTTTGTCCATACCTACGTATAGCTAACACATGGCTCATTAGGGGTTTGAGACCTTGCCTAGTCCATCCCACATCTGCCTTGGTCCTCCAGGACACCAGGGGGTGTTGGGGTCCGGCCCGGTTCAGTGCATCCAATCCCAGTCCACACTTGTGCCAAGGGAGACTACAACTGTTTCCAGATCAGAACGCAGCCCCCCTTCCAGGCCACGCGCCTCTTGGTGGGAACCTCAGCCCAGCTAGGGTTGTCCCCTTTGCTCCCCACCCGGGTCTGTTCCCAGCCATAGATCACTTGCCTGTCAGTGGATGCTCTGACTCAGCTTGGCACAGCTCCTCCCCTGTCCCGAACTCTGCCTCAGACACTGTGGCTTAGCATCCCTGGCTCACGCAGACCAGCAGGTACAAGAGCCTAGCTCGGCAAAACCTTTGCTCCCTCCTGGTTTCTAGTTTTACTTGTGGGCTAAGGTTTGCTCAGTCGGGCCTGATCTACTCTGTTCCCTTACCAGTTGATACATTAGCCAGCTATTGGAGCTACCTTTGCAGGACAAGCCCCAAGCCATAGCTTCTGCATGGACCGGTATTTGGTGCTCAGAATTATTAGTGATTACATGTTTTACAAAGGAAGAGTTAGTGCCTGTTTCAGGTCCAAGAAGCACAATGGATTCAACCTAGAGCTAATTAAGCAGCGAATCAAAGCACCAAATCCCCAGAGCTCCCCGACCGGGCGGCCAGCAGGGGAAGCCTGGCACCAAATGGCGCACTGGCCGCCCGGGGAACAGCTCACCATGTGCACATGGCAGCTGTCCGGGATCCAGGCATAAGACGCCCCGTCCTGAGACCCACCAGCTGCCGGGAGGCTGCTGGAGGTTTAAATAACCCAGGCCCAAGGTCGCGCCCCTCCCAAACCCCATTCACCGCCCCATGAAGGGAAGTAACTGTTTATTAAGACAATAAAAAAAACTAAGTAGAAAATAAAGGTGTAAAAGCCTGTGGTTATTTATAGATGTTAATAAAAATAATTCTTATTTGCCTAGAGTCTGAATTAAAAAAAAAAACTCATTTAAAATGTTGCTTTACTTAAGGTACTGGAAGACATCCAGCTTTACAACTAAAATGACTTACTGCATCTCATATCATTTGATTATGATACTGGAAGTAAAGATGTTTAATTAAAATGTCCAAACTGTGATCTTATTAGTTATTTATTGAACTGTCATTTCAGGGCTTCAGAGAAAATGTAATTATATCTTGAGCTGGCAATGAACTCTCAACAAGTAAAACACAACTAACTCTCAAAGAGAAATATAATTTTATTTCCAAATACAGTTTATTGTAATATATCCATACAAATGGAAGTATGGATAGAACTATACTAAGTGAAAATATTAAAGAATCAAACTGTTGGCAAGGAATTAACAAAATTCAGAAATGTAACCCAACATACTAGGTTTTTGGTTTTTAAACTAGTTATTTGAAAGGCAGAATGCCAGAGAGAAAGGTGGTAACAAAGGAAGCTTACTTCTCCTGAATTCTCTCCGCAAATGGCCATAGTAGCCAACTCTGGGCAAGAAAAATGCCAGGAGCTAGAAACTCCAGGCCCCCATGTGGATAACAGAAGCCTAAGCATTAGCAGCCATCTTCCACTACATTCCAAGTGAATTGGCAGAATGCTGATCATAAGCAGAACAGCCAAGGCAACAAGCAGACTTCAATACAGGATGTCAGCACTGCAAGTTGAAGCTTAACCTACTGTACCAATCTGCCTTAGTAGTAGTGATTTGAGCTCGTACAGATGTCAGTTTTTAATCTATTACATAGCCCACACTCTGGGAAGTTATTTACCATAACAAGCACGAGATTTGCAATCCCGATTATTCCATATGATCCTGTCAGTCTCATTTATAAACTTGAGTCAAAAATATTGATTCCAGAATTGAGGTTCAGATTCATTAAACAGTCTTTCTGGTACCTACTTGAGTTCCAGCATGGCTAAGGAACATCACTTTCAGCCATACTCCTGAAGAAACAGAGGGAGAAATGGGGATGCTGATATCGTGGCATAGCAGGTAAAGCTACTTTCTGTGATGCCAGCATCCCATTAGGGCATCAGTTTGTATCCTGGCTCCTGTGCCCTGATCCATGCCCTGCTGATAGCCTGATAAAGGCATCAGAGCATGTGCCAACTACCTGGGCTCATGCTTCTCTGGGAAACCTGGAAGAAACTCCTTCTTCCTGGGTTAGTTACTGGTCATTCACCATCTGAAAACTGAATCAGGATAGAGGATCTCTCTGTGTCTGTCTCTCCCTCTTTCTCTGTAACTCTTTCAAATAAGTAAATAGATTTAAAAAAAAAAAGCTTTAAACAAGAAAGATTAGAAGATTCACAAAGCAAAGCCAGGATAGATCATGTTATCCTGAACCTAAAGGTTTTCCGATGACTTTTCTGCTTCTGTTTTTCATCCCTCATGTGATTCAACTGACCTTTCTACTCCTTTCTTCTTTGATATACTGTAGGTTCACACGTAGATTCAAATTTGCTGTACAGCAGTATCCCGAAAAGTTTCTTATTCTTAGCCCTTATGGATGACAGTTCACTTGCATTTCAAAAATATTTATAAGTGATTCTAATATGTGTGGAGGAAAGTACACTATCCCAAAGAGATTGTCTAGGATTGAAACTGGGGGGACACAACTCAACACACTGGAAAAATGGCTCTCTGGTATATTCAATTACAAATTATTCCACGTTGATGTTAATTTTCTAATTGTCTGTGTGCTCCCTTTACATGTATATACTCTCCAAGTGCCCACAAGGGGCGTAACTGTTTCATGTTAAACTTGGGAGCTAGATACCCAACCCAGGTTTCATACATGAATGTTAGGGTTGTAAATGCTGAACGAATCACTCCTTGCCTTCTACACTGTGCTTTTTTATTGTATTATTATTTTAATTTTATGATTCTGTTCCATAGGTTTTGAGATTTCCCATTCCGCTTCCCCAAGTCCCTCTTCCCCCAATGATTTCCTTTCTAGTATTGTAATATGTAGTCCTTCATGAACAGTCATAAGTCCATCATTCCGCTACTGAAGTGTTTCCTGACACTGTTGACATGGACAGTGTCAAAGAGTCCAGCATCCTACTGTTGGGATATATTCAACAGTTTCACCATCTTTGGTCTGGATCCAGGGAGACATACTGCACTATGTCTCCACATCTAAACATGTCAGTCTCCACTACATTTCTGTTATACATCCACTTAATTTTATTTATTTTATAATATATTTTCATTTTGAATTGTGTGGTACAATTTTGTATAGGCTGGGATTCACCACCAAACTCCCACCCCCCATCACATTTTTCCCATTTTGTTACAATAGTGTAGTCCTTCATAAGGAAACATAATTCTATCAGTCTCTTATTTAAGTATACCCTGACATTGTTGGTACAATGTCAGACATCCACTTAAATACAGAGCCAGTGAACACAGTCCACAACTTGGAGAAAAACAGAAATTTTACATTAACATGAAACTAAGCAACATGCTACAGAAAGACCAATGCATCATTAAAGCGATGAAAGACAATCCAAAGCTGTCTTGTAGAAAATGATGTTACTGCATAACCCAAGTGGCACTGAAGAAATTATAATAAAAATAAGAATGACAATAAAAACAAAACATCAATGCCCATGAGATGTAGCCAAGACAGTTTTGAAAGGAAGATATACATCAGGTGCTTACAATCAAATGCCTCATATGAATGATCAATTATTGAATCACAAAGACTTACTGAAAAATATACAAATGATTAAGTAATGTGAAAAGGTAAAATTCACAACAAAAATAACTGGATTTGAAAGAAACAAACAAAAACACAAACTGAACCAAGAAAAAGCCATTCCCTACGAGCAAAGCAATCCCCCTGACACTGTTGGCACAGGCAATAGTAGATACTCTAATTTTTTTTTTGTTGTCTGGGTATATTTAGTAGCTTTAATAGGAGTCTACTCTCATTCCTTAGTAGGGCTGCTTTCTGTTGATTTTCTTTGATTCCTGGTACTATGGTGTCCATTACATCCTCATTTGTGGAGTTATACACATGTGTATTTATTCACCTATGTTTTTCTGTTTTGTATAAAATATGAAGTGCTTTACAAATCTGTGAATCATCTTGTGCAGGGACCATGCTGATGTTTTCTATATCATTCCAATTCTAGCATATTTGCTACTGAAGCAAGCACTCCTACACTATGTTTTAGCATGAAGCTGGAACTGGGAGCACAGCTAGCATTTGAACCCAAGCACTTTGATATGATGTGGACGTATCTGAAGCAGCATCCTACCCACAAGACCTAATTCCTGCCCCTGTTTATAATTGTTAATAGCATTAGCACTAAGATTAGCATTATTTTTAGTATTAATAATAAATGCATGGTTAGAAAAATTGTGTTTGCCATTCCAAACTCTTAGCTTCTAGTTCTACAATGTTTTCTCCTCTGTGGCTAAATGAGATGAAATTAAAGCACATCACGATTACAGCCCTGCCATGCGTTACTCCTAGGACACAATTATCTTCTCCCAGTGAGGAAAAGGTTTCCTTGGTAACTTGCCTTACTAACTGCACTCCCTGTAAATAACTAAAATAGCAAAGCAACTGTTTGGGTACAAAATTTACTTCATTAGCAATCTTTGAAACAGCCAGTTAGAGATTTGAGCCTTTTGTACTCTTCTAAACCTTCTCAAAATGCATTGGAACAGAACAATTTGATTATTTTTATTTGTAGTTTTAACAAAAATACGTGGGTATTGTCAAATAATCCTGCAAATGCAAATAAGATAACATACTTATGACTGATTTCTCAGATAAATTTACTGGAGAACTGAGCATTGTGGCTAGATTTTCTAAGGAATTTATAAGCACAAAATTCAGTCCCTTTCATTACATTTTATTCATATTTGTTTGATAGACTTAAGCTAAATTTAAATTTTCCTTTGAATAATATGTTTGCAAAACAAGCTTCAAGAAATTTATTAAGGAAAAACAGATATTTTTAAAGAGCAAAAATCCTGACAAAATCATTTAAATGCGTAAGTAAGCATTCTAATGTGATTTAGAAAATAATGAGCAAAAAAAATGTTTACTGACCTGCTTTTTAACAATTCTGATTATAACTGAGGCCATTTCATACTGAGTATATTACAATCGAACTCTCTGTAGAACCACAATAATGTTTTAAATCTATTCCCACAGTTCTCATAAGGTGATTATTAACTAATAAGTAGGAAATGAAACCAAAGCATAAAAACAAAAATCCACACAGTAGACAAGAGTGGTATCAAAGGGATTAATTTAGAATTATAAGTATTAAGAAGATGAGGGGAATTTCTCTAGGTGCATATTTCTGGAATGGTGTTTGTGTACAAATGCCATATAATTTGGGTCAGCCTTTCTAGATATTACATTTGACATTCATGCATTCACTCAATAGATATTTATTGAGCGCTTACAATTTTGAAACACTGTTAGATATTGAAGATATAAAAAGAGACCTGAAGAAAGATGGCACTATGCCCCCAAATCAACAATGTTGCGAAGTTCCATAGAGAGTCAATATAGGATCTTGTCCTGTTTTCAGGAATTGTTACTGAGTCTCAAGGTGAAAGAAAGAAAGAGAGAGGGAGAGAGAGAAAAAGAAAGAAAGGAAGGAAAGAAGGAAGGAAGGAAGGAAGGAAGGAAGGAAGGAAGGAAGGAAGGAAGGAAGGAAGGAAGGAAGGAAGGAAGGAAGGAAGAAAAAGAAAGAAAGAAAGAAAGAAAGAAAGAAAGAAAGAAAGAAAGAAAGAAAGAAAGAAAGAAAGAAAGAAAGAAAGAAAGAAAGAAAGAAAGAAAGAAAAAGCAAAACAAGAGAGAAAGAAAGGAGAAAGGAAGGAAGGGAGGAAGGGAGGGAGGAGGGAACGAAGGTAGGGAGGAAGGGAGGAAGGGAGGAAATTAGTTCAGAGATTGGGTTGGGATCAAATATATTTTTTAAGGACTAATGAAAAACATCAATATAAGAATCTTCTCTTGCATACCTGATGCCAGTCCTCTCTGACAGTTAAAACACATGAAAGACTGTGAAGTAACAGTAGATAGCCATAATAACTGTCTAACCAAACTCCACCTGTAATGGTCAGTTTAATGAAAATCACTTTTACACCATGGATATTTCAATCCATTTTCTGTTATTCCAAAAATACTTGAAGCCAACTACTTTACAAATAAAAGACATTTACAGATCCAAGATGGATGAGATGCCTTATACTCACATTTATCTCAGAAAAGAACCAGAAAAATAAAGGAAAGCTCATTTGTCTAGGAGACTGAGTGAAAACTTTAGTAAAGAATTGCAGGAACCCCAAGAAGCAAAAAGACTTGGACATTCAGCACAGAAAGAGGAAGAAAGTATGTGAATTTTGTACACAGAAAAACGTAAACACAGTAGCAGAAAAACATTAGAACTGATAAAACCAATACTGTAAAGTCGAAACATACAATATCAACATACAAAACAACTGCATTTGATATACTTATGATGACTTTGCTAAATGAGAAATCAAGGAATAAATCTAATTCACAATAGCTACGAAAAGTTAATATTTTAGAATAATTTTGATCCAAGAAGCAAAAAAAAAAAAATTCTATAATGGAATTTATAAATCTTTTTTTTTTAAAGTCAAATTTTTTTTTATTGTTGTTTACATTGTATTATGTGGTACAGTTTTATAGGCACTGGGGATTCCCCCCACCCCTCCCATACCCCTCCCCCCATGGTGGATTCCTCCACCTTGTTGCATAACCATAGTTCAAGTTCAGTTGAGATTCATTCCTTGCAAACACATGCCTAGCATAAAGTTCAGCGTCTTATTGTCCAGTTAAGTTCAGTGGCCTCTTGGGGAGACCTTCTCTGGTCTGGAGGTAGGGCTAACAGAGTAAAGATCCGGTCAGTTAAAAGCCCCAACAAAACCTCAGTATCAATATACAACATTATGGAATTAATTGACATAGTATTGGGTAAACAATATGTTAAAAATAATGCAAGTTCCATTCTTCGAAACATCTGGGTTGAGACAGTATCAATGACAGGTTCAAAAAATAACAAACAACCAAACAAAAAAATTACAGGTTAAATCAAGGCAAACATGTGGTATCTAACCTTTTGGGATTCGCTCATTTCCCTTAGCATTATAGTTTCCAGTTGGGCCCATTTAGCCACAAAGAACTGCATTTTGTTTTTTTTAATAGCTGAGTAGTATTCCATGGAGTAGATGAACCAAAGCTTTCTTATCCAATCTTCTGCTGATGGGCATTTCGGTTGTAATGCATACCACCTAAGTTGACTTGAAAATCCATGGCTGCTGCCCACCAATGGAAACTAAAAAATCCTTTACTTCAGCCATGCAGTGCAATGGTTTCTGGAGTGTGGTGGGAGCTGCCACTGCCAAACTTGGCTAATAAAGACTCTTGTGTCTGGTGTGGTCTCTATCACTCTTTGTAACAAAATACCATGAAAACAATGAACATCCCCATTACCAGGATTCAAGAGGGACTGAGAATGCCATAGGGGTAGAAAGAAGTTCCAGTTTTTCTGAATGCAGACTTGTCAGCACAAAACTTACATACCAGAAGGGAGTGGAATGAGACTTTGATGGTACTGAAGGAAAAGAATTGTCAGAAAACAATACTGCACCCAGCAAAGTGATCTGTTACAAGTGAAGGAGAAATAAAAACATTCCCAAACAAAAGCAGGAATAATTTATCACCACCAGACTTGCAAAAAGAGAAATGTCAAAGAGAATTCTTCAAACTGAAAGAAATGAATGTTAACAAGCAAGAAAAAAAGTGTGTGAAAATAAAAAAGGCACTGGTAAGAGCAACTGTACAAATGTATGATGCTCAAATATAGTACGCTGGGTGTCTAAATCTTTTATATCTTTACTGACAAGACTGAAAATATTAGAGAGGCTGGTGTTGTGCTGCCTGTAACGTTGGGATACTCTATAAGAGCACTGGCATCACATTCTAGCTTTAGTTCAAATTCTGGCTGCTCTGACTAAACAGCTCCAAGCTACCACTGCTAAAAACCAGTGATTAATGGCACTTGGGCCTTTGACATTCATGTTAGGGACCCAGATGAAGTTCTGTGCTCCTGTTTTAGTCATTTAGAAAGGGAACCAGCAGACAGAAGGTCTAGTTCTCTCTCTGAAATTCTATCTTTCTCCCTCTCTCTCCCCATCCCTTTCAAACAAATTAAATATATATCTTCTAAAAGTAAAAGAGGATGCTGTCATTTTCAAATTCATTCTATCAGGATAATATCCTATTATTTTGATAATATTATATTATCTAATAACAAGATAATATTCTATTATTATTATTAGCAAAACCAAAAAAAGCACATCAAACAAAAAAGCAAATATTCCTGATAAACCTAAGACATAAAAATTTTCACCACAAAACAATAGCACATAGAATTTAATCACATATTACAGGAATTATTCACAATGATCAGGTGGTATTCATCTGAAGCATGCAAATATAGTTCAAAATATGAAAATAAATAAATATTATGTGCTAGATCAACACAGTTAAGGCACATAACTGATAATCTCAATACATGCAGAGGGAATTTGATGAAATACAATATCCATTCACAATAAAAACTGACAAAATTACATATTAAATGAACACATCTCAACTTGTTAAAGGCCATTTATAAAAAGTGAACAGCTAACATCCTATTGGATGGGATAAAAGTAAAGTAATTTTTTTCTCTAAGCTCTGTAACAGGACAGGATGCTTAATTTTATAAATTCTATTGAACCTATTTCCAGAAGTCCTGATAAGAACAATAAGAGAAAGGGCATCCAAAATGGAAGGGGGAAATCAAATTATCACTGTTTCAGATGACCAGATGTTATATAGCCAAAACATAACAGACCTATTAAACAAATTCAGCTAAGTTACAGCACAGAAAGTCACTATAAAAATCAATAACATATTATACAGCAATAGTAAATAATCCAAAAAGTAAATCAAAAGGCAACACTATCGCTAATAGCTCTATAAAATAAAACAAAAAATAGAATATCTTGGAAGGAGTTAAACCAAAGAAATAAAAGACCTCTGCAACAAAAAGTATAAATCATTGATGAAAGAAATTGAAGAAAACACAAAGAAAGGAAAAGCATCTTGTATACAGA